CGTGCCATAGAGTAGGTTCGCCATCACAGGAATAGGGGAACAATTCTCAAACAAACTTTAGATTGCATAATCATTCAATGCAATAGTGCAAACCTATCGCATCTTTCTCAAGATTCATTCAAAATACACACACACACACACACAGAGTTTATAAGTAAAAATCCAATATTTCTTTTCAGCTATAATCCAAGGGAACATTCTAAGTATTTCTTTTAATATTAGAGCCTACCTAAGTCTAATCAATGAAGTTGAGTCACACAATGTTTAACAAAATATGCACTGGTTACGAATTTAGATAAATTTAGAAATTTAGTATAATTAAAAAAGGCTTTACAGAAGTTCTAGAAAGTATGACTTTTCAACAAAACTCTTCCTATATTCTTATTTATAGTTTTTAATTCTATATTACCTAGCTCTAAATGATGGGATGCAGTTATTTTCTTATCGCCTGCTATAATTTGTTGTATAGATAATATTGCTAAAATCAAGTATCTTGTTTTGCCATTCTGGCACTCACCTCTGCTATTGTAAGCACACAGTACATTGACTGATGCTCAGGATCCACTCCTTCTAGTTTCATTCCAACTTTGAATCCATTTTTGTTGTATGGGAAAGACTGGTACTAGAAGGAAAATGCCAAGTTTTATTTAACATAAGCATTTCTAAAATATGCCAAGATAGATATCTTATTTTTCTCAGTTAAGAAGAAAATCCAGATCTTCCACACTAAGGCCAGCTAATGAAACTTTTTTCTCCACCTTCATTTAAAAAAAACAAAAACTATACGGACATAAACTAGATCAAAATCTTCAGGAAAAAGTACATTATGCATTTCCTAAGTAATAAATATGTTAATATATTTCTGTATTAATGGCTCAGCCTCTCTCATCTTTTACATTCCTGCTGTGCGAGTTGTATTTTGAACTTGGGTTAAGTAATTATGTCATCATATGCTTCATTATACAATACAATATTGCATATATGCCTGCATGACCTTTAAAAATGCGGTTTTCTTTACTGTGTCAGTTATGCCTTTTAGTTTCTAATTGATTTTAGAGTTTGTGCCTTAAGCAGACATAGTAAATACAAGGATGAGTACAGCTGTGTTTCCTTATCTCTCTCTGCAGCAAAGCGCAGGCATTGCTTGCTGGAATAACAATTAAAAGTCATATATATGTAAGCTGCCTTTCAAAAAACACATCTCTATGTTTTCACACAATGAAGGATACTCATGTCTTCCTTTCTGTTATCATTTTCTTTAACCATTGTAAAATAATTCTACTGACACCTCCTATAAATGTATACACTTTGTCAAATTGTCTGTTAAGTATTCTCTTTAAGACTTATGTAATCTAGTAGTTATTATTCTTGGTTCATTCTGGGTACAAAAAACCCCTAATGAATGTCAGTAGTAATCTGCTAGCTTTGAAAAATAAATGACTCTTTGGATCCTCTCCAGTGGATGGTATGTATTGCCGAAGTTTTTCTGCCACAATGCTAAAACTAATTTTAATACCAAGATTTTGACAAATTTCTTATATGAAGTTATATAAATGCTGATTTGTGAAAAGTATCTGTTTCTTCCGCAATGACTTTTCTAGTTATGCCATGAAAATATAACCATGCAAAAATCAATTTACTTTAAAGAATAATTTTACAAGGAGGATTTTGCATGACTGCTTGTACTGAAATGAATGTAAGAATGAATGGATTTGCAAGTTTCCGATAGGTGTATTGTTTCACTCTTTAAAACTGCTTGACATACAACAAAACAAGTCAAGAAATCACAATTAAGAAGCTCTGTGTGTCTAAGTGTGTCTGGGGGGTGAGGGGGGCAGGGGATGTGCCACAAGATTATACACAACTTTCTGTTAATCCTTTCCTAGGAACTCAAGTCTCACCACTCCTTTTTGTCTATGCTAATGACTGTTATTAACCACATTAACTGTGGTTAATTAGGATTACTTCCATAAAATTATTGATGGACAGTTGCATCAATTGAAGCTTCTCACCAGAGATTGCTAGTAATCAAGGCTGTAACCACTGATCCTGTCAAAATACAAAGGATCCACATGCATTCATCTCAAAACTATTGTTATCCTTGTAATTCTTACTAAATTTGCTCCATATTTTCACAGAACCAAAATTGTATGTATAACAGCATCTACATATGCATTAGAAGAATACCAGGAATGGATGCAGTATGAAAAAAGAGGCAGAGAAATGTTGCATATAAAGAGTACTGCTTTTGTATGCCAAAATGATATAATCTAGAATTATTTAAATCCCTGTAAAATTATGAGTCATGTTTATTGTTTCTCTGACACAATCTTTATTTTAGTCTATACAAAAATATTCTACATAATGTCCATTTAAAAAGCCATTAACTGTTGTCAACTATTACAACTATTGAAAGGTGTCTTTTCTATTCAGGATTGTTCACACTATGTGCTTCAATTGCTAAAATAAAACAAAAGGGAATAAACATTAATGGGTGAACCAAAAAAAAACTTTAATCAAAAGGGGCCATCTATTCCAAATGGGCATAGCTAACTTATCCAAGAATTTAGGGTAGGGAAAACAAGTTAAAAACTTATCTTCACCAGTGTTCAAACCAAAACGAAGCATGAATACATACACCTAGCTCTCAAACTTCAAGCTGCCAGCAGTAATAACACCAATGAATTCTAATTGCAATGTTTTGGAATTGGGCACTTAGTAGCATACAGAAATAATCTTAAATACCTCCAACAGTATAAAAATATAAGAAAGTATGAAATAATTCAAACATTATGCATAATAGTGTTTTAAACGGTGGCAACAGCATGCTTAGCTAAATCAACATCAACATTTAAAGTCTGCTGGGAAAAACAAACAGGTTTTCGGCTGCTGTTAAAAAATGTTTAGAAGAGTTAAATACAACTAGAACGCCAAAACTATGTTGTCACTGTGAAAACCTGCCCACTTATATGCGGATTACCTATAACAGAATACCACCTGAGATTATCTCCTCTGCATCAGTTATTACATATTTACATAGCAACATCTGTGAACTGCCTTTCATAAGTAAGGGAACTAACATAACCCTATCAGCTATGTCAAAATTTTAATTTGCCTTTATTTAAGACAATTATCTAGCAAAGTATATATTCCGCAAACCAATTAATTAGTTTTACAGGAGAGCTTACCTCTTTAAAAATCTTAGGAGGTGCTGCTGTACCCTTTTCTTCTTCCAAATATGAAGACCAACTCCATGCTTTCTTTCCCTTTGACATTAAAGCTGAAATTAGAAAAATAGAAAATAAATAAAATCTATTCTCAGAAAACATGTGGAAGCTGTTATCTGCACTCAGGTAACTGTCCCTGGTTTGCTTTCAAACTCATGAAAAGCATCTTATCACCAAGTATAGGGTGATTCTCTTTCCTGCCCCATTCATAAATAATAATTATCTTGGTGAAAAATCTTGTATTACTATTAAGTAAATATAGTAATGTCATTCTATATACTTTAAAACTAGTAACACAATATTACTAAACAGGTAATCTTTGACTTATAGCAGTTCATTTAGTGACCAAAGTTCATTTAGTAACAAAGTTACAACAACACTGAAAAAAGTGCTGTTATGCGTTTTCACTCACCTTTGTAGTATCCCCCATGATCATGTGATCAAAATTCAGACATTTGGCAACTAACTCACATTGTGTCCCAAGGTCATGTGATCGCCTTTTGCAACCTTTTGACAAACAAAATCAATGGGGATGCCATATTCACTTAACAACCATGTTACTAACTTGTCAACTGTGGTGATTCACTTAACAACTGTGGCCAGAAAGTCTTAAAATGGGGGAAAACTCACTTAACAAGTGTCAAAACAACAGAAATGTTGGGGTCAATTGTGGTTGTAAGTTCAGGACTATCTGTATTTGTGTGAACAGTACCACAACAGCTTGCTGTTAATTAAGACAGCAGGGATAGTAGATGATTACCATCAAAGTGAAAATTATAGATCCGCTTACAGGTAACGATTACTGCCTAATCTTATTATTTTCCTTAAAGAAGCATATTCACCCCTTTAGGAAACTGGCTCCACAGTAATAGCATTTTACTACTTAGTTAACATTTTGGATTTGTCACTTTTTAAAATATGCAACACTTAATTTTCTACAGGTTCCAAAAATTAGCTGAACAATTTCACCTAGGTGGAATAGAAATCCCCATCAGTGTTCAGGAAAGAGAATAATCTTAATTTCATTTATATTTTTATTTTAAACTCTCCTATGGAATGGGAAACATTAAAGGCAGAATATTTGAAGCTTTTAATAAAACTTGTAAGCACTTGAAGGGCGATGCTCTTCAATTTTTTCTTTTACAAAATACTTTTACAAAATAGCTATGTATAGGATAGCTATAATTGACTACATATGATAGTATATTATTTTAATTAATTAATGTAATATTTTTATAGCCATCTATTTCACTTTAGTGACTCTGGGCAGCATACCTAATAATCAAGAATGTATAAAAACTGATTGAAAACAATGAATTTAAATAAAAACAGAAACAAAATAAATCATTAAAAACCAATGGCATAAAAACAGAGTGCATCATATAACCATCTAACAGGCTCTACTGTATCATAGCATCACTATGCTAGTTGATAAAGCTATGTTTGAAGGCAGAGGTGGACAACTATGGCAACTTTTATGACTTGTGGACTTCAACTACCAGAATTCCTAAGCCATCAAGGGAATTGAAGTCCACAAGTCATAAAAGTTACCCTCCCCTGTTTTAAGAGCTTTCTGGAAAACTAACAGAATTGGGATCAATCTCACCTTGGGAGTGGGGGGGGGGTTGATGTTCCAGAGGGTGGCGGCTGCATCAATTTTATCAACCAAACACAAAGTGGGAATGTTCATCTATGGCATTATGGAAAATCAATGATCCGAAGATATTTGCAAACAGTATAAATATGTAAAATTCACAGATTCACATAATGTGGTTGTTCACTTCTGATTGTACACTTAATCAATCCATTTACCTCAAGACATATTTTAAGTTTTTTGAGGAACTGAAGGAAAAGTTTATTCTGCTAAAGTATTATAAATCAACTTACTTTGTTTTAAAATTGCCACCTCTCGTTTCCTTTTCCGTGTGGCTCTTTGAGATACTCTCAGTATTCTTCCTTCAGCATTGTCTTCCTAAATTGCAAAATTAAATATTGTGACTGGCATAATTATCATTTGTGATTGATTATCAAACAAAGAAGTTCCTGTTCTGACAGTATTTTGAATATTTAAATATGAATTCAGTTCATGTAAAAATCAATGGAAAATGAAGTACCAGCTTGCAGAGTGGTTTTTGATTAAACTAGGAAGATAGTATTATGAACAACTTAAGAATACCATGAAACCAGATGTATGAATAAAATTCAGTTTTGATTTGCAATATTAAACAATGAACTACAATACAGGACATTCCTAATTATTCTCTCAGTACAAGGGAGAATAACAATAATATGCTCTCTGTAGGACTCTTTAAAAAAATGACTACACGGTAGACAAGATGTATACTTTACTATTCTTACTCTATCTACATGAAAATAAATGCACTAGTCAGAAGAGTGGTATATATTTCTTTAACACTAGCCCAACCACAACCACAACATCCAATTGGGCAAGCATTCATAACATTTGTCAATAACAAAATTAAATGATTGTTCGTTTATCAATCAAATGATTGGAATGCCATGATATTGCTGAATTTTATAAGATTTCAATATTTTTATATCTTATAAGATTTCTAATAAAAAATCAAGTTCATTGGGGGAAGGGGAGTTATTTGAGGCTGTGGAAATATCAGGTAGTCCAGAAATCTCATGAGATTGGGGCAAATCAGTTAAATTTAGTTAAATCAGTTAAAACATAGCACTCCATTTATGGTTTGTTCAATCGACTACTGAACAAATAATGATTGGCAACGGTCTTAAAGCGCGCAGGTTTTACAGGCAGGGACTACTGAACAGTACTAAACTACAAGAAATGGTCTAATCTAGAACAATCGACTGAAAAATACTAACTGTTTCTTTATCTTTTTCTTCAATAACCTCTCCTTTGGATGGCAGTTTGCTTTTTCTCTTTTGAACGCCCTTAGAATAGTCTTCGTCACTGCATTCTGACACGTCTTTTTCCTCCTTTGATTCCCTAGAATGAGAATTAAATTGCATTAATTACCACAAGGAAAAAGTTGTGATACACAAAACAAGACTTTGCATCTTTCAAACCTTTCCTTTCCTATTTCTCCTCAAAGCGCATACTTTAAAGGGGCATTTTAAAAGAAAAGAAATAGCAAATTTGAATGCTGTCAAGTGGAATAATAGAAAGATTGCAATCCCTTGAAAGATTGAAGAGATTATTATGTAAGACAGTAAAATAAATTTCTCAAATGAGCACAGTAAAAACAACTATGCAATAATTATTTGCATTAGTGATAAATTGAACTTCACTATTACTAACAGAAAACAGAAAATATGCTCTTTTTAAATTAATGCATAGTCCTGAATAAAAACACATGACTTTCCTGCCATAAATTCCAATACTGTAGCTAAATAGAATTTTTACAAAATCGAAGTGTATAATGCAATTTTTTTTGATCATACACTCATAAACTAAGTAAAATTCTATGAATAAATACTGGTGCTGCAATTATTAACTAGAAGTCAAACTTACTGGAATTTATTTTTTTAATAGATATGTATCAGAACTGTTCAAATTCTTATAGCACTCAGGAATGTGAATGAAGCAGCTATCTTTGACAGCCATGTGTTTTTCTTTTGCAGGTTTACTTCTGCTGCTTCTTTTAACATGCTTCTGAATATCTTATGCTCCTGTTCTCTTTCAAAGAATATGACTGCACTAATGTACACAAGATTGCACCCAAGGCTGTATCCTGTTGACACTTAGCTATGAATTATTCTGAATGGTAATCAAACATGCAACTATTCTGGCAGATTTATATTATGCTCACAAACAAACAGTGGTAATTACCGAGGAAAATATGGCTTCTCTATTTGTAAGGTCAATACTGTTTCAAGCTCTTGGGGATTCTTTTATTTATAAACTTGTTTAAGTAATTGTCAAAATCATATTCCTTGTTTTGTATAACCGAATAGGGGTCAATAATGTGGTATCAAAAGCTCTACCCTATGTACAATATCCCCAAATGGCATTCTAGAAGTCGCATAGAAACATTCTTATTAAATACATGTTTGAATTCTTGTGATATCACCGGTGTTCTAGCCCTGGAATTTATTACAGGTGGATGGTTTCACCTGCAACCACTATAAGGATTTTATGATGGCACCTAGTGCCTCTAATATCCCCCTACTTTTTCTCCTTTGCTTCACACAAAAAACCCCAGCAGTAATTAGCAATAATAATACAACATAGATTCCATTTTTTAAAAATCAACTGACAGCTCAGCAAGTATTTTTATCCAGTGTTCCCTTAGGCGACAACAGAATTTGTACTTGCCATGATACTGTGTTGTATGTATTTTATTAACTCTTACTTGTTTTTAAACAGATGGACACATTTCTGGCTGCAAGTTCTTTCTCCAGCTACAAACTCCACTGATGTTCCAGATTGAAAACAATTTTCACAAAAATGAAGCCCATCTGCCTTTGCAGTTTCCTTCAATTTTGGTGGTACTTCTGTTTTTTCTGAGAATGCTACACAGAAGAAAGACAGCAGGGAATTTTCAAGATGACATACAGGTGAAGCAAAAAAAGATAATGAATTATGTCAAACAAAATGACCAAGACTTTTAACTGGGAAACACACCTAGTATAATGTCTGCCATTTCTTAAAGCAGCCATATCTTTACCCAGGATTGTGTGGCTGCTTTTGCAGCTGTAGGACAATCTATAGACAAAAAGCATATTTGGCTGATGTGTTACAACTTTCATGCTTCAAAGCATCTTTTTGCTTTTGAGTTCAACCTCCTGCACCTCTTTAATTACTGATAAACATTTATCAATTATTTCAGGCTTCCCACAAGCAATTAGTGCTGACACTTTAGGAAAATCTTACAAGCTTCATCTAAACCATTTACTCAACAACAAGCTTATTTCTCCGAGTGATGGTGAACAGTTCAATAAAGATTTCAATACAGTGTGCATCTGCTGTAAAAGTCAATTGTGTGTCAAGGATAATAAGAATTTGTATGAAAATAGAGAAGCCAATATCATAAAACTATAGTTTTGTTTTTGTCTAGTTTTTAATTTTTAATCTGTATATTTTTTGTTAGGTAAGCTCCCCATTGGGAGAGCGAGTGCATTCAGAGAAGCGTTGTGAGATTGGTGTTGGAGAACACACAGACCAGCATACAGAGACACTGCAGTTTAAATAGGCTTTTACTTTCGTGGAAATAGAGGTATCAGAGTCCATCAAACAGTCTAAGTCATACACGGTTAAGACAGTCAGTCATCAACATCTTTCAGTTAAAGGATAATACAAATAACATAGTCCATAAACAAAGAAACAGTCCGGCACTGTTCCCTCTAAGGTGCGCGGCCACGCGGCCGCGCACGTGGCAACAAAACACCGCACAGCAGTTTCCAACTGCCGCCCAGTGTTGTTTGTGA